TTTGGCATGTCCTGTTGTTGCACAACAACTGTGTGTGTGAAGTGGACGTATGCATCCTTGAACGCGGCTTTCAGATTTGTGGAGTTTCTAGAAGCGTTAGGGAGGAATTCAAGCACCCCTTCACCTAACAACTTAACCAGAAAATCTGTCACCCGGATCTTGGCTGATTTCGTCTCCTTTGCCACCTCATCTCTCGCCAATAATAGCAAAAGAGCAGCAATAAACTCTCCTCTCTCCCCTTTTGCGTGTAGTGAGTCCCCAAGGACTTGATGAAGGGCTTCTGCTGGTCGGAACTTGTCTCCTAACACCCTCATCGCTCGAATCGATGCCTCTGCAAGAACAGGCTCAGAAGGTGCAAGTGTTTTGATCGTGTTTGAGTCTGCTGTCACCTGCATGACGACACGCATGTGACGTTCTACAAGTTGTTTCGCAACATCTGCATCAGGTCTGTTTTGTGCATCCAGTTTAAGGCCCAATCTAAGACCCATGATCGCTAATATGTCTTGCCGGGTTGGTCGAAAATCCTTGTTGATATGTTGCGTGTTAAGTAGCTTTATCATGGCGAAGTCAAATATGCAGTCTCGCACACGTTTGTTGCCATACTGATATCGAGTGGACCATCTGAACAAAATTAAACAATTTTCAAACTGAGGAAGATGATAAACTTACAGGGGCCGACCAAATTTCACAATCCACTCCGGTTTTACAGCCTCTGAAAGTTTAAAACCTTTGTTCGGTTGTACCTGACCCCGTGCAAATTGATCGAATCCAAGATTGATAAAAGGATATGGCACTTTTAGCACTCGTTCCCCAATTCTTGCAGATGGGTCATCTCTCGAGTTGGGAGAGAATTGATCTATCTTCCCAGTTGTAGAGAGAAACAGGGAGAATAATCTCCCGCTCCGGTCACAATCTCGAAGTACTCGACGGAATTCGTTGAAATATGTCCATTGTGATGACTGTTGACGGGTTCCAAACCTTCTCCTGGTAAGCACATGGGCTTCGTCCCAGGAGAGAACTAGTAAAGGGCCCTTTTCCTGTTTCCCAAACAATTTGGAAAGGTAATCGAGGAGATTGACAGTGATTTGAGGCAAATCCTTTGCAGAGAGAAGTTGGGCATCCTGTATGATGGTTATTGTGTCTGGTAGTGTCTTCGTTATCCTCTTAGGGCTCGTGGCATTTGGAGCGGCCCTGACCTGAGCTTCCACGTGTTTCTCTTCGCCTTTTTCAAGGATCTATTTGACAGTTAATAAGGAAAAGGCCGAGATTCTGGTAAAAACATACATCCTCCGCTAAGTTCACTACTTTTTCATAGAAGCCTTTACGCTCGTCACCGTGGTCCATTTCTGAGCCGCCCTCTTCAAATAGTCTACACACGAATGTTGCGATCGCGTTTTCTCCTGGAGAGGTTGCATCATATTGTGCTGCCAAAATTTGATGGAGGTTGAGGAATAATGCCATAAGAAATGCTTGCACACGCAAGTTATAATCGTCATTTTTCTTGGTCATTTTTGTAAGAAAATCTCGAGCTTGATGGTCCGGTGGTGGATACCCTGCTTAGAAAGTAAGACCGGTAAAAGAATTTGATGAATGAATGTTACCCACCGGTTTTTGCCTTTCGAAGGCAGCATGGAATCACCACATGTTCTTCGCCCATTTTTGCCACTAGCCTCGACTTGCCCATTCCGGAGGATTGGACGATGGAAGAACAGAAGGCATACACCTCCTCTTTCTCAAACATCGAACATGACCTCACCAAGTGTTCCCAAAGGCGATGATGAGTCGTGCCAAT